AAATCTAACTTGTGATTTTTTTAATATTAAATAAGAGTATAATTAGAAATAATAATTAAAATCATATTTAAAAAATTTATGAACAAATATTACAAAGCCTCTGTTTGAACTTTGATACACATGAATGAAGTTATTTTTGTTTTTTAGAAAAAAATATTATTAGATGCCAAAAAATTGAATTAATAATAGTTAGGTTTTCAATGAAAATTTTTAAAACATGAGTTAAAAATATCAATACAAAAATTTATAAATAAGAATTTTAGATACAATTTAAAAAATTAAATTTATAATTTATAATTGTCTAAATTAATATTTTTAAAAAATTTTGTTGGAACGTATCTATTATTAATCAAAACATTTAAAATCTAGCTATCATTTTCTCCTATTTCTTCCTCTCATATTGCGTGCCATTAGATGAAGATTTTTAACCCTCTTCCCTTCTCATTCTTTTTTTCTTCCTCTTCTTAATTTTTAAGTATTAGATCAAAATTTGAATGGTTCAAATTTGAGTTCTTAAAAATATTTTATTTTTTTACTATATTTTTAATTTTTCATATTAAATTTTAACAGTTTGAATTTTATTATATTTATTTTTTATAATTTAATATTTCAATAATAATTTTATAGAAGATCAAATCTAAATCATCCAAATCTTGATCTAATGATTAAAAGAGAAATACTTTTGTAGATTGAGTACACCATATTACTTGTAGTCTGTCCAATTAAAAATGTTTTATTTTTATAATATAATACAGATTCGCTTTCTTGCTTTTTCTCTCTTCACCATTATTAATATTAAAATTAATTTATATTTAATGTCATCTAAATATTATATTTTTATTAAACAGATTACAAATAAAATGGTGCACCTACTCTATCTAAGTATTTTTTTAATTAAAAAAAGAAGAAGAAGGGAAGATCACAGGAAAGGAAGAAGAAGAAATCCTTGTCCTAATAATACCACTCTAGTTAAAACAATAGGTAAGAATGCTATTTAAACCCTACCACCAAAAGGAAACAAAAAAGTAAGCTTAAATTTAGCTATTGGTATGAAGATCTTGTTCATTGAAAGATCGTCGTGTTCTTTTATAAGTGAAGGTTTGTCTTAGGGTGCATTTGGTTTCTTTACATTTAGCATTCATAAAGCTATTTTTTACTTTTAGGAAGTCAAATATTGTTTGGGATTCATTTATCACATAAAATTGACTTTTAAAAAAGATTTGAGAATGGGATGAAATGAAAAAAATTCAAAAGCTTTGCTTTGTAGCTTTTGAAACAAACTTTGAGCATGTAAGCATTAAAATGACCATAATACCCCCTCGTGAGTTTTGTCTTTCTCGTGCTTGGGCTTAAGAGTCAGTGTGCATTTCAAAACTCATCTCCTCATTCTCTCTTCCGTGTGTGTATCACCAAAGAGTGACACTTTGTTTCTCTTTCAGCCATGCAATAGCAAAGAATAGAAAAGAAATTCAGCTACAGCACTAGACAAAAATGAACGAACAACAGAGGGAAGGGGAGTGGATGACTTTCCGACAATGAGGAGACACGCATGCTAACGATAGAATTGAAACTAGTGCAACGAGGAGGAGGAGAAAAGCAAAGGAAAGGCACGAGTTATCTCTTACTCTGTTCTGTGTATCACTGACAAGGAAGAAGGGAGAGAATGATATAATAATCTTCTTAGAAAACTTACCAAATAAAGCCTAAAGTTTGTTGAGAAAAATTTTAAAATAGTACTCTATCAGATAGAGAGATGAATAGAGTTCAGTATTAGAGATCAAATTGCATATTACAAATCGAACTGTTAATCATGTAACGAGTCAATATTAATGAATATTTAACTATTTATTATATAATTTTTTTAATATTAAATTTTATATTTTTTATTCTTATTATTTAACATTTTAAATTTTATGTTATTTTAAATTTGTTTCACATTTTTTAAACATTTTTAATATATTATATTTGTATAATAAAAATTATAAGTTATCATAAATCAATGTTCTTCTTGGTCATTACATATTAAAAAGTATATTTCAAAAGAATAAATTTTTATTAATCCAAACAACTTTCAGTTTACCAAACTAACTTTTAAAAAAATGTATCCAAATATAAATTTATTATAACAATTGACTTTTACCAAATTGATTTTTGCCAAATACACTTTCATCAAATTGACTTTTGGTAAATTGAAAATCAAATGCACACTTAGGCTCTTAGCATATGTAAGTCTACCAAACTCACTTGAATTTTTCACCTAAAAACTATATTTTATTTGAGCAGCTACTTAGTTATTTCGAATAAAATTTAAGCCTTTTTCAAATAAAATATTTTAGTTTGAAATTTAAAATAAGAAAAAAGAATGATACCAACAATAAAAATATGTTTTCAAATTTTAACCAATTTTTACATCTGTCCTATTCCCTCCAATCTTATGTATTAGCATAAATTAGGGATAAACTTTGCATTAATTAGCTTTTTTTCCCCAAAATCATCTTTATTTACAATTTTTCAGTGATGTTTTTAAATGCATGCTTCTAATTTTAAATACGAATAGCCTAGAAAGATCATTTATTTTTTAAGTCATTTTAATAATTTAACTACCTCTTATTAATTTGATGAGTTAATTAAAAGTTCTATAGAAAGTATTTCACAAATTTCAAACTTCATGAATCCAATTCTAACCAAATTATAAGATCAAAGTGCAAATTCACCCCTGAACTTTTTTACAATGTGTAATTGATATCTTTAAGTTTTAAAAAATGCAATATTTCTCTTATACTTTTAAAATTAATACAATGTTATTCAATTTTAATAGATTTAAATGTTTGACTCTATGTTGACTTCGCTGATGTTAGGTGGCATGTCCAGATGTCATCCATTTTACTTTGGCAAGCCACATGGCATGTCTTAATAATTAAACATTTAAAGAAGGAGAGGAGGAGGAGGAGGAGGAGGAGGAGGAGGACAGATGTGTTCAACTTCTCTTCCTCGTCTCTTGCTCCTCTTCCTCATTCAACACATAATAGAAACACAGCTACAGCTTACAACATCCGAATCCAAAAAGAAAAGCCGACAAAAAAAGATCCATAGCAACATGAACCAAACAGCAAGAAAGGAAACTACACTCAAAATCAGCCCAATACACCAAAACGAGTAAGTATCAAACACACCAGAAAAGAGAACATACATAATCGTAACAATAGACAAGGCATCCAGATAAACAACCACCATCATGGAAAATTCAATTACACGAAATGCATGCACCCAACAGCATATGAAACAAAGAGAAGGAAAAAGCACACTGTTTCCCAATAAAGCTCATACAGGTGATCCCAAAATCCCATAATTTGCATCAGAAAAACCAAAAACAAATCAATGAATGACTTCATCGACACAAAAAAGCAAGCAATTAGTACCATACTTAAAAGACAAAGAAGTTGCAACTTTGATCTCCTTCAAAGACCTGATGACCCCTGAATCTGGAAGCGGCAGCGTTGTAAGCCTTGGCGGCCTACTCTCTTCGTCCCTCTCTATCTTTTCAAGCGTTTAATTTTATTCTCGATTTCTTCAATCATAGCATCGATCTTTCTCTCATCATTTTGCTCGCACGTTGTCTTCTTGGCCAAAACTCATGGAGGGCTCTCTCCGAGAACGCTGTTCTAGTTAAGGTTGAAGCTGCAGAAATGGTGACACAGGCCATTATGCTCACTATGTGAGGGATAATGTTCATCATCCAGCATGGCTGTCAGCAAAACATTGGAGGGTCAAAACAATCACAAGTTAAACGTCAGTGTTGGGGATCCATCAGTTTTGGACCAGTTTTTGAAAAGTATAGGGAAAACATTACACTTTTTAAAATTTAAAAATATTAATTGCACCTGTAAAAAAAATATTTCGAGGTGGGTTCGCACTTTAACCCAATTATATAATTCTAAAATGTCTTTTTGGACCAACATATAATTCCAAAAAATCGACGCCTAACCGTATGGTGTTGGCCCAGCTTCCGTTTTTGTTCCACAAAGTTATAACCACAGCCCCTTTGTCTTTCAATTGTGTCAGACTGTCAGTTTTTCCAATTTATCTTGAAAATACTATCCTAAATATGAAAAGTCCAAGTCCGAGACAAAATATGCCAGAAACAAGGACAACGCTTTAGTGACTGCTACGTAACTTTTGATATTAGCATATTACTGAGAGCGAGGCACGTTTCACTTGACCATGATTTGGAGCAGAGAAACAGTATGAATTTGGATCCTAACTCAATGAGTTAAAATATAATAATAATAATAATTTGATAAACAGCTTTCAAAGATTTTATAATATAATGCCAAGAAAGTATCATATTCTAAATTTTTGGAGGGACCAACAAATAAAAAGTGTTCTGATCATGGGAATTATTTTGAATCTTAAAAGGAAAATATATCTTAATAATTTTCAAGTATTGTTGAAATACAATAACTATAATTGAAACATTTATTGACTAAATGTACTTAAATCACTCACTAAATTCAGATCAGAAACATTACAAGGGATTAGCAGGTTTTCCTTTTTCAATTGAGCAAGATGTCAGTGATTCAATACTGCATTTAACATTCCTTTCAAACAAACAAAAAAAAAAGGGAGAAAAAAGGAAGGAAGAAATATAACAATTAACCATTCGGATCTTGCTATGGCATGCAACTGTGTTAACTAGATTATCATATACCCCCCCCCCCATTCCCTGTTACAAGATACCTTCAACAATCTCACTGGAACTTAAAAAAAGTAATTAAGTTCTTAACTTCATATGAAAATAAAATAAACTTTTAATTTTTCCCTTATCTATAAATGATTTTTTTTTTGTTAATTTTGCATTATATTTTCTCTTATACCTGATGTGTTAAGTAATATTGGAAAAACATTATTAATAACCATAGTGTGCCTTACGTTAAGGATAAAAAAATACTTTTAAAAAATATCTTATAATAAAGATCAAAGAAAGTATAATTCATACGACCTGTGACCAAAAACATGGTCATCCACACATGTGCACCTCATAAATAATTTTGATATATCAAACTAACACATACAGTATTTTCAGGACACAGCTAAAATACAAAAAATAAAAAAAGAATTATGGGCGTTTACCAACTTGGCTAATCAAAATCTCGATCCTTCGCGCAGATATGTACATATTTTTTTTTTTTTTGGGTGTTTGGTTGTTCAAAGCTGTCCTGCTCTTATATCTCTGTCAAGCCGATCTGCATTAAGGGTCCCTGGAAGCTCTCTAAAATCTTCATTGAATATAGAATATGCACTGAGCAGGAAATAGTAAGAAACTATCAATCGATTTCCAAGATATAGATTTCATATGTTCTTATAATCCTTAAACTAACTTGGGTAATAACAGATTCCAAGAACTTCAGTAATTGAAACACGCATTAACAGACACGAAAGGCTGAATATGAAGTGGCATTATATTCATTACGAAAGCATGTGTCAGTCAATGATACTAACCAAATCAATGTGAATACCTAATGTAGGTAGTCAGGTGCAATGTATGTATATTCACAAAAACAAACAATGTTTGTCATCAAGAATACTGACCAAATCAATATAAATACCTCATTTAGGTAATAGGTATAACCGATAAATTTATATTCATAAGCCAGCTATCTATATCCTTAACAAGCTCTGCTTAGAAAGAGATTTTTTCCCCCTTTCATATTTGGACATATTGGCTGGACTAATTCACCTACAAAATCCCTTTGATGGATTGAGAAATATGAAAAAGTAATAAAAGAAGTTCCAAGAGATTTGATGATTTTACAAATAAGATTATAAATCCCCAAAAGAACAAACAAAAATCCAGAGCTACAACAGTTCACACAATAAGCATTTTAACTCCCATATATTACAAAGGGAGTTAGATATGCTTGTTTTTTCATCCCCAACAAAAATCAATACTTTACAATAATTCTTCTTCCCACCGTCCGTATTTTTTCATTCTGTTTGCTTTTTGAATGTTAATAGCCTTATTTGAACTTTCACAAATATACGAGGATTGCTCTCACCCCGAGTAAATTGTCATCGTGTAACAGTAATAGTGTAATATGCAATATTTTGTATCGATTTATACCTTACATCACCAGCTTGGCGCTTTCCAAGATTAAAGAGAATTAGAGAAAAACCTGTAGCAAGTATCTGCAGAAAAGTCGTAACAAACGATGAAGCACAACCAAATAGATAGATAGATAGATAGATAGATAGATAGATATATAAGGGATTTAAAACAATGAAAAACAAAAGTACAAGTACCAAAAACGCTGAAAAAAATATAAAGACTAATAACAAAATGCAAGCAAAGTACAGAGATCTAAAGTTATGTTTTTTCTAAAAAAAAGTAAATCAGATTCAGTATCAGTTTTGAATAATAAAACAAAACACTGGCCAAAAGAAAATAATATTAATAAAACAAACAAATGGTGGGAAAAATTATGAGAAGAGAAATATCAATTAGAACAAATGAACGATTGGAAATGTCAGAAGTTGGAATAGAACAAGCTCAAGTCAAAATCTGAATTGATTAAATTGACTAGACATATAAAGTCAGAAAATATTACAAAGTAGCAATCAGCAGCTTAAAGCTCAGTATCCAAAGCCCAAATATGGATACAATGATTGGCAAAACTTACATATAAAGGTCCAAGATCCCATTTATGGGCAATGGGTGCGAGGATAAACCACATAAGTGTGAGAACCCATGCTTTCAAGCTCAGAGAGAATATAAACATCAAAAGGATATCTATCAACACAAAAGGAAGAAGGTCAGCAGATTACTAACATTTGAAGAGTATCATGTAGCTCAGTCATTATTGAATATTGAGTAATTTATGTTGCTGTCCCCAGTTGAATACATACCTGAAATAACTCTTCATATGATATATAAGTCGATCAATTGTGTAATTATAGCTTTAAATCTAAATCAAATGTTTCTTATGCCAATACATAACTTTTAAAATGACAGCAAAAGGTTAAAAAAAAAAATCGATATGACTAAAAGGTTGTGAAATACTCAAAAAACGATAATCATAATTAGTCTATGACTAATTATACTTTTTTTTCAGAGACCAAACAATAATATATTAAGCATGCTTAGAAGGAACCATTAGAATGTTGATTGTCACCTGGAAGCTTCAAGTTATCATGTAGAAAAGAGTACAGCCTCTTCTTCCACTGACTTGATGAATGGGGAAGCTTAAACTTCTAGAAGAGTGGCAATCAAAGAAAGATCATACTGAGTACCAGATTGACTTGACATTCACTTCAGACATTATTAAATTGATTGTTACCAGGTCATCGTCGTCATCATCATCATATCCATCACGAACTGGTGGCTTTGGTTTGACAGCAACAATTAGAGAATCTGAAACAATTACACAATGCATTGAATATTGAAATATTATATATAGTCAATTGAACTAAAAACACAAATGCAATAAAGGGTCATTAGAGACATGATGCACGTTAACAACAAAACCATGAATGGATTTTCAACATCAAAAGGCATTTACCACAAATAGGCGCATATATAATGCACGTTTTTTTTTGTTGAAAATGAAATAAAAAAAAATTATGTTCCTTTTCATTACCTCCTAAGTGATTCAATGAGATTTTTCTTTAGTGAATAGAGAAGTAGTTATCCCCTACCGAACTTGATATGCTTTCTTTCTTTTAGATCAACTCAAGTCATGAATGATCAATGAAAGTAACAATCTGTCCAAGATATATTTCTCGGATACAAAGGAATAAAAAATTTTGTAAAGAAGATCTGTGTTAAAGTTTGAACTTGCTCCTGTGGTCACATGGAGCTGATTGTTCTTCAAATGTTTATGATCTATTATCATCCAAACACGTTTTAATAAGAGCCATCGGCCACAGAGAAACAAAACCTTTCTCCGTACTGTATGCAGATGATACAAGAGAAGCTCATGTAAAAGTAATACACTGAATTGATCGAAAAAGATATTAAGGCAAGACATTTACCACCATCATTAAGTTGAATGTACACGTCATCTCCATTTTTCATATCATATAATACATTTCCACGCAGAATAAGACTCAAGTTATCAATAGGTAAACCACCATTGCTGGCAATTAATCCTCTCAAGTCACGAACCTAAAAATGATTTAGAAGAAACAAACTATAAGCAGACTGTAAGAATTTACAAATGAGCATTAAACCCCCCAAGTGAAAATATCAAATGCAGCTGTAATAATTAAGGCCAGCCAACATGATTTTCATGTAAAACATATTTTCCCTATCAAGAAATTTAAAGAAAACATGGCATTATTGAAAGATTAGATTGGTTGTCTACTTTTGGCATTCAACAAATTTTGGGTTTAGACTTTAGACTTTTGTCCAACTCCAAATTAAGTTCCTCACTTTCCTAATAAAATCTGATTTATCTCTAAGAAACGAATAAAAAATCTTAGTATTAGTCGGGAACAGATAAAAATAATCAACTGCATAGTCCATCTGATATACTGATATATGATCACTTAATAGTAAGATATGGTTGGAAAGCATCCGACGCCGCAGAGGACACAATCTCAGTCAGGATGAATCAATTAGCCAGACGTTCAAAATTTTAGAGCATGTAATAAGCTTGAGCAAGTATTTGGAAATTCCAGTTATATGAAAACAATTAAGTCAATAAAATAAAAATAAAACAAAACAGAAAATGCAAAAAGAACTTCCTCTTTCCAGGGGCGATGCTAATTTGCAGAAAACTAAACAACTTGTTCTGGTTCTCATATTTTTGCATATTCATCAAATTCTTCAGATGGCCATAAATCTTTGGAGACTTGATTCCAAGATAAAATAATAATTTCCAAGGCAACTTAAGCTAGATCGTGCAATTGCAAAGAGAACATTTGTAACACCCGGGAAAAAAACCGCGAGAACCCAAAATTGAATTAAAGGAAAGAGACGAGGTGCACCCATATACCTTGAGGAAGAGGGAACAAGAAGACGAGATGGGCGAGCAGGGCCAATGGTTTTGAGGACGATCTCGACCTTACTAATAGTCTCGAACTCGTGCCCATCGTCAGAGCCAACAAGGGGATTCAACTCATCCTCCTCCACAATCTCACCCATGCTCATCTATGTGCCTCACAACTCAATTCAATCAATAAATTCCTTGCCAAATGTACTGCAAAACAAGCTCCGAACTGAGTACCAGGCTCCAAGTCTAAGGTCAAGGAAGAGCCAGAGCGCAAGGAAAGCGAAGAAAGAAGAAGGAAAAGCTGATGATTATGGGCCACCGCAACTCCAAGTCTCCAACGTATTTTCCAGCTTTTTTGTCTCGGCCCATTATAAAACATGTTTTTGCTTTAGTCAAAAGCCCATTTAGAAATCTGCTTTAGACTTAAAAAATTAATTAGAAAAATCATTCTCAAATCTCACATAAACATATAAAAATAGCAAAGTCCTATAAAATTATAAAATTATTCTGAAGTCTCATATTTTTCTATTAAAATTATCAATTCTTGAAAGATAATTGTTAATTATTACTCCCTCCATCTTAAATTATAAGATACTTTTGGAGAATATTTATTATGCTAAAATATAAAATACTTTAAGAAAATTAAAGTTTCATTAAATATACTTATTTTAATATTATCCCTTCTCTTTCTATTTAATATTAATTAGGTGTGAATTTAAGGTTATTAAATGAAGGGCATTTTTGAAAGTTTATATTTTTATTTTGAAAAAATAAAATTATTAAGTGTATTTAATGAGGATTATTGGTATGTCAGATTTTATCTAAAAATATCTTATAATTTGGAGAAAGAGAGTATTAATTAATTCTTAACCACATAACTCCACTAACAAACTATCCAGCAATAATTAACAGTTCCAATATAATAAATGACAATATCGATAAAAGACATGATATTTTAAAGTAATTTTATGATTTTACGAGACTTTTTTATTTATTTGGGAGAAAATAGTAATTTTCACAAATTAATAATCTCTCTCTAACAAATAAATACTATACTAAATATTTTTTATTTTAATTCAGAAAAATAACAGTGATACTCCGAGAAATGAATAGATTTGAATTCAATTTTTCATTATTTTTATAAAAATAAATATAAAAAATTCTCTGATTTGTAAAAACATAAATACCCCATATCTTAATATCAAAAAAATAATTTATTTATTATATTTTAATTAAACTATTTTCTACCTGATTAAATAAAAAAATTAGAAAATAAATGAAAGGATATGCATGGAGTAAAAAAGGGGAAAAAAGGATATGCATGGAGTAAAACGTGGGTGTTGTTTACTGTCGAATTAGAAGCGAAGGCATGAGATATCATATTGGAGCATGAGGATGAGGCATTCGTTGGCCACCATTCATCCAAGATAGAATATAACCTCTGCTTCAGTTATATTTCTCTCCCTAACCTAAAACACACTCGCACCCTACCAATGGCTCTCAGAATGTGGGCTTCTTCTACTGCCAATGCCCTCAAGATCTCCTGCGCTTCTCGCCCACATCTCTCCAGATGCTTCTCTTCTGGTATTAATTCTCAACTATTCCTATTCATTCTTCTGTTTCATTTTTCTCTCTGTAACTCCGAGTCGTTAATTGGTTCAGTGTTGGATGGACTCAAGTACGCTTCTTCCCACGAATGGGTCAAGCATGAAGGCCCCGTAGCTACAATTGGCATCACCGATCATGCCCAGGTTGCTTTTAATATTCTTCATTAATTCCTTAGCCAACCCGTTTCGTTAATGCTCGTGCTCTCAACTTCTGCATAATGGATTCTGAGTATCTGTTCATGATCACTGTGCCATATATATATTTATATTATATTACATGGATGAACAGTTCAGTCAAGTTGGCGTTTGCTAATCTTAGATTCGTGACTAATTATGGGAAAATGGGTAGTGCTTGCTAATCTTAGCATTCCCAAAAACTGCAGTGAGAGGCTCCAGGAGCCCATTTTGCTTGATAAAAGTCGGGAACAGAATGAGATCATTTGAGTCTCTGACACGCCTAGAAATTCTACCATAGTTGGTAAGAAATAGAATTAATTAACCAACTAAACTTGACGCGATGAGTCACGGAGTTTGAATCCTAACATATAGTAATTTAGTTGGGAGAGATCTATCTATTATTTTCAGCATCTTATAGGGAAGATATTTTCTACTATCAACGGAACTTATTCCTTGTATTTACCAAAAAGAATAGAATTAGTAATTGGTATACATGAAGATGATGATACATTTGAATTGCAGGACCATCTGGGGGAGGTGGTGTTTGTGGATCTGCCAGAACCCGGTGGCTCGGTGGCCCAAGGGGGTAGCTTCGGAGCAGTTGAAAGTGTTAAAGCAACCAGTGATGTTAATTCTCCCATCTCAGGCGAGATTGTTGAGGTTAACACTAAGCTCTCTGAGGCACCTGGCCTGGTAATTATTTCATTCTAATTAACCTTCGTTTAACCCATAGACTGTTAAAATAAAGCTTTTTTGCTGTTGTGGATAATGGCACTTTGACTTTGTTTTTATTTGGTGGTGTTTTGAAGGTTAATTCGAGCCCATATGAAGAGGGATGGATGATTAAAATAAAGCCGAAGAATCCATCAGAATTAGACTCGTTGATGGGTTCCAAGGAATACACCAAGTTTTGTGAGGAAGAAGATGCTGCACATTAAAAAGTTGGAGACTTGCTACTTCTGCAACTCTTGGGACTATAGCTAACTCTTCTCCACATGATTATGTACCGTTTGATTGTCAGTTTTTAATTTATTACTCTCATCATTTCTCTTTCCCGTCTATCTAATCTATTTACTACATCTCCTCCCTCATGTGATTGACAAATACTCTTTCTTTAAGATTATAAGATGTTTTTTAGAAATAATTTAAAAATATAAAATATTCTGGCTTTTCAAGGAATAATTAATGAGATTTTTAAAAAATATTTTTAATAAATTTTTAAAATTAATGAGATTTTCATATTTAATATATACGATTGAATTATTTTATTAAATGAGAATACACATAGAAAGAGAAAGTAATTTTTTCAATGGTGTGCCTGTTTTTTCAAGAGGTAAAAGGTAGTTAATGATAGTATTTTACTCTTTCCAAGTATAACATATGATATTGATAACGAATTTATGATTTAAAAAACCATCAGTTGAAATCTAAACTTTTTTAAAAATTACATCTTTTTAATTATATTCTCATTAAATATATTATATAAGTATCTTAATAATAACAATTAAAATTTCAATGCATTTTTTTAAAAAATAGTAATTATAAAAATTAATTACTCAACACCCTATAATTTTAAAAAATTAATTACTCAATGCATTAATATAGTTAAAAAATTAATTATAAAAATTACTCAACATCCTATATTTTAAGTCAAGTAAAACTTTTAGAAAAACTTAAATGAAGGAATTTGCAAACAACATTTTTGATATCTTTAATCATCCTCCCGGAGAATGATGAAGACTCGAGGCTCTTTTTAAGTTTCTTGCCCATTGTATGTGTCTTTTCATTTAGTTAACGAAGTATCCAGTTCCTACTCAAAAATTTTAGACGGAGAGATTGACAAGTTTCTCCCTTTTGCATCATCCAAAACATCGAGAGCTCAAGCCTTCCACCAATCTGTAATACTTTGTCATTTCCTTTTTTTCCCCTTCTCAGTTGTAGTGTGGTACTTTTTACGGTTGAAGGACCATTAGGTCACAGAGGATCAATTTAATCCAGGATGAAATGACTTGAATGCCCTTTGAATACATTCCTCTCTCCACTGGTCCCACCCACGTGCTCTCTCTCTCTCTCTCTGCTGAGGCCATTTCCCTCCATCTCTCTCTCTCTCTTCTCCGTTTCATTCCATCTATGCTCCAATGATGTACAACCCTAACTCCGGCTTCGGCTCCACCATGTTCGTTCCCTTCAACAGCGAGGAGAGAATGAAGGCCATTGAGAAGGACAAGGATTTGAGCCGATTCTAGGGGACCATGAATGTAGTTTTACCATATATATGTAATTAATAAATGTGTTACTTTGGTTCTTTTTCTTTCTTTAATGAGTATGTGGATGGCAATTTTCTACCAAAAAAAGTCTGTGAATGGCTGATTTTCTTTTTCTATTAAAATTTGAAACTTGGGTCGCAAATTCCTCATCACCTAGTTGTAAATTTGGTAAGCGAACTTTTAAATTCCTAAAAATCTTGAATAATCTCAATCATGTTATTTTCAGTTTCTCTATTAAAAATTGGAATATGAGTTGAAAATTACTCATAAAACCACTTTCACTTTTAGGAAACCAAGTTGCAATTTTTTTTTTACCAGAACCAAGTTACAAATTACTCAAAAATTTAAATATTTGATTAAAATAATTTTATTCCTTGTTAAAAATTAAAATATTAAGTTGCAAATTACTCATAACTACTACCAAATCTCATAAAGCCACTGACAATCTCAAACCATTGATCAGGTTAATTTTGTGTTCCTTATTAAAACATGGCACATGAGTTGCAAATTACTTATAATCCAGTTTCAATTTTTATAAGCTAAGTTGCAAATTCCCAAAAAGTCTCAAACGATTGTTTAAATTGATTTTATTGTTTCTGTCAAAAATTAGATGATTAACAAATTATTCAAAAGCCTATTGCAATTTTGGGAAGGCAATTTGCAAATTTGTGAAATTGTTAAACAATTTTTTCAAGTTAATTTTTAATACACTCCCTATTAAAATATGGAGCCTGATTTGCAAATTACTTGCGAAACAATTATAAATCTAGGAAGAAAATTTGCAAAAATTTCAAGAACTCAAACGATTGTTCATGACGTACCTTTCCTTGAATCAAAATTATACAGAATAATCACATGAACAAGACAAAAACAATATTAAAAAAACCAGTGACGGTGCACTTGCCTGCTCCTTGTCTCCTAAGTCCCAATTGTCTGAAAACCTTGGAGTGTTTGCACAGCCTTCAATGCAGAAGAATTGATGAGACTAGATAACTGTTTGGTTATTGAAAAGAAGTAGAATGGAAGGATTAAAAGAAATAAAAATAAAAATAAGATGATCAAGAGGATATATGAATATATTTGTAAGAGAAATAGATAATTTAACTTTTGAGGTTGATAATTATAATTCATTAAATTTTTAGAAGATATTATAATGTCTATATTTATTTATAATATATATTAATAAATTTATTATATTTATTATGGGACAAGGGTGATTTAGTTTATTATCCTTTTATTCTATTCTAATGGCCAAATGGGAACTAAGGTAAGATGCCCATGTCACTTTGAAAACAAGCAGGATAAAGTCAGCAGAAACAGAGGGGGAGAGAGGAACGGAATAAAATGTTGTTGGACTTAGAGAGGGAAAGATGATCGAATTGAAAGGAGGAGGGAGGGAAATGCATGAAGAGGTTGTTCAAGTCATTTCGGTTTGACCAAATTGGTTTAAAATTATTTGGGACTTGGTTGCATTTCAAAATGTATTGGGATTAAATTGGTCATTTGATTGGGTACTAAATAAAGATACATCTTTTAACAAGAATTCAAATAACGCTTCATCACGTTATGAGTAGATGTAGAATTGTTAATTAGAGTCAGTCTAATCATAAAGGATAGGTTCTTAATAAAAAGACTAGCTCTAATAAACTCAATTATATTTCAAAGCTTCATTTTGAAAAACTCAGCCTTGGTCTTTAGGGTTGAAGAATCAACCCTATAGGCCTTGCCCTATTTGTTTAATTTAAAAATATAAAAAATTATAATATTAAAAAATGCATTAAACATAATATTAAGTTTAGAAAAATAAATTTAAATTAATCCACATAACAACAAATCTGTAAAACTTAAATATCTAAGTTTAATATCAAATAGTAATATCAAATTAACACTAATAAAACTTAAACTTTGATAGCATTATTAGTTAAATCTTAATTAATGAATGAGGGAGGGAGGAATAAGTCTAGGGTTTTCATTTCTTTTAATTAAATACTTAAAGTCAATGTAATAAAAATTAGTTATTATAACAGAATTTGTATTTGAATATATTTTTTTAAAAGCTAGTTTGATAAATTAAAAGTTGTTTTTATTACATATAATGAAAAGCACTTTTGAATGTGTTATTATCAAAAAAGATATTGATTTTTATAGTTCATAATTTTTGTTATATAAATACAATATATTAAAAATGTTTAAAAAATATATGTGATACAAATTATAAATAACATAAAATTTGATATGTTAAATAATGAGAACAAAAAAATATGAAATTTGATATATTGGACAAAAATTATAAGGAAAATGACAAGAAAATTTCTCCAAATTATGTAAATGATAATTTGATCCCTCAAAATGTCATAATACCAATGAAGTCCCTAGGGACCTCTTTGTCAATAAATTTTTTAAGGAAAGATCATTTTACCCTTATTGATAAATTGTAATTTCTTGTTTAATTCTTGTAATTTTTTTGAAGAAAAATTGTGATTCTTTAAATAAAAGTTGTGAATGGAGTTTGTTATTTTGAAATTTTTTTTCAATAATAAAAATTATAATTAATAAATTGTAATTTTTTATTTAACTCTTATAATTTACAGAACAAAATTTGTTATTCTTTAAATAAAAATTATGATTGGGGCTTATTTTTTAATAAAAAAAATTATATTTGATAAGTTGTGATTTTTTATTCAACTCTTGTGATTTACAAAATAAAAATTGTGATTCTTTAAACAAAAAATTGTGATTGGGTCTTATTATTTTTAATAAGGATAAAATAGTCTTTTTCTTAAAAATTTATTGACAAAAAAATTTTAGGAATTTAATTGGTATTAGAGAGACTAAATTATCATTTATATAAATAAAAGAAATTTTATTGTAATTTTTTTCACATTTATATAGATAGTTCAACATACATTAATACTGAAAATTAGCATTATTAATAAATAGCAAACCCACACAACAAGAGTTTGGGTTATTTTGGGAGACTAGCAATACCCAACATCCTAATGCATTTTGAGAATATACTTTTAAAAAGCTATCATGAATTTACATTTAAAAGATTCACTTGCAGTTACTTTTAAAATATATTTTTAGAATGTTCCTTTATCTTAAATTTTTTATTCAAACAGCTTTCAACTTTTAGAAAGTGCAAAAAAGACTTTCTAAAAGCTAAAAGTAGCTTATCCAAACAAGCCCTTAATTTTTTTTAAATTACAAGTAAAAAAACATAAAAAGACTTAAAATGGCTTGCCTAGCCTGACGGGTTTGATTCTAATTAATACCTCTAGATATAAGGGATTTGACATTTCTACTAAACCTAACCCAACCCCCATTCACTTAGAAATAGCACGCATTTTTATTCACAATTTTAGTCCTCCATACCAAAAAAATCCAAATTTTAGTAAAATTTTTATATGATTATTAATACAACTTCTTATTCTTTAGATTTCATTACTTTCAAAAAAATATATATTTTTTTATTTTATCATAAAAAAGTTCATCTAAATTAGATTAATTCGAGGATCAGCCAAGCTAGTATATGCCTCTAAATTTAAAGTATGCTTATAGAAGTGCCTACATGTGCATTAACAGTAGAATTTGAATCTACAAGCTTTTAGATTATAGGCCAAATTACATCAATGGGATTAATTTTTATTCATAAATTACATTTTTTGGTAATAAAATTACATTTATTTTAAATATAAAAGCAAAAAGCTGAGATAGCCCATCTGATGAAGCTCATTTGGAATAGGCTGGGATGAAAAGAAAAAACAGACGAGCCCAAGGAGCTAATTAAAGAGTTGACTGGAATAGAAAATTAGAATTTAGAAATGAAGCTGCTTAGTCTTTTAATATACGTCTAAAGAATTGGTCTCCGTTTGGCGCAGCGTGAAATTGAGGCTGATTAATGGAATAATCATGTTTAAAAACCATTTCAATAAATTAATCACGGATAAAAATTAAAAACAAATTTCATTCTAAAAAAATAAGTTTATATTTTTATTTTAATAATAATACATTTTATATTGATGTTTGTATGTGAATACGTCATTCTCCTCTCATTAATTATCAGACATGCATGAGGACAGGACTGAGGTGTTTCTTTTCTGGTTTCTTGAATGAGTATGATTTGACTAATCTCAGCCAGCTGTCTGTATAAGATGGTTTAGCGATGAAGTGCCGTATATATATACCCCCTCCTCTCTTTTTTATGGGTCGGCTTAAGAAAAATTTCATGGTCTTACAGGTACTTTACAAAAAGTTTGTAGAGAATAAATTGCTTTATTTAAAAAAAATTAATGTTTTAATTCTTTAACTTTCAACTCACTTATAACTCAATCTCTCAACTATGATTCACTGTGACTTAATCCCTCAACTATAACTTATTGCAACTTGGTCCTTCAACTTTTGATTTACTTATGACTCGGTCCTTATTTTTTAATTTTTTTTAAAAAATTTCTTGTCAAATAAGAGGGATAAAAAAATACTCATATATTATTTTAAAATACCCTCTTTTTACTCATTAATGTGAGATATAAGCTAACATGAAAAAAAATTAACAAAAGTCAAGGAACCAATTCAAAAGTTTAGGGACTGAGTCATAGGCAAGTCATAATTAAGGGATTGAATCACAAGTGACTTAAAAGTTAGAGGACTAAAAGATTAATTTTTTCTTTTAAAAATGTTCTTATTATAGGGAGTATTGTATATACTAGTATTTTAAAAATTCGTGATATTTATTCGAGGAAAAAAATGAAAATCAAAGTAGTTTTTTAACAATTTTAATAATATAACAAACTTTTCTTGAATCTAATGATATTGTTGGTAGTTAACTATAGTACACAAATTAATAAAAATGACAGTCAAATAGAAGTTACATCACTAAAATGTTAAAAAAAATATATTACTTTTCTAGTATATCCATTGCAAAAATCAATACTACATTAAGAATAATGAATTAATTACTTATAATATTTAATTGTTAAAAAGAATAAAACACACAAAATTAAAATATTAAATATTCTAGATATTATAAATTAGACTTATATTTTGAACCAAACAAAGTTAAAGATAAAAGCACGTATAATGTGGAGTCTGGAGGAAGCTTTAGTATGTGGGAGTAAATAGGTATTTAACATTAGGTTTTATCTTCATCACTTTTGTTGGCAAGCTTTCTCTTCGTCATTGTTATGGGCAAAACCATTATTTTGTGATGAGTATCAATGTTTAAAACTAGTAAGTGGCCTTAATTTTTTTTTCACTCAATTAGTATCTTAATTACAGTCATTGCATTTTATCAACAATAAAAAATTATTAAAATATATTTTTTAAAAAAATTTAAAATAATCATCACAATCAAAACGCTGATAGCATGAATTGTCCCTTCTAAAATTAAATATTCAGTACTTTTTAAGTACTTTCTCTGTCAAAAATTTTAAGGTATTTTTAATGGGATTAGACCATTTAATAAATAATTAAAATTATCTTTAAACTAATACTATAGTTTTATATTTATCTTTGTTTAATAGATATTTCACTTTAAAATAAATATAAAGTGATTTATTTATTAAGGACATTTTAAAAAGATATATTAATTATATTTTAAAAAACTAAAATACTTTACATATTTTTACATCTAAATCCTTGAAAAATATAAGATATTTTCATTTTCAACAAATGTGATATTATATGACAAAATTTTTAATTGTGTCCTCTTAAAATAACACTTACGTAATAAGTGAATTCGTGCCACTAATCCAAGTCCACATTAGTATATGCGTCAGAGTTGTCACCTTGAAGGTGTCGTGAAGCAATCCTTCAATTCTTCTTCCCATTGAAATATCACAACAACGCAAATTAAAGAGTTGACCTTTTTTATCTTCTCTGTGACGTCCACTCTTTTGGATTGCCATACCGGTATGTGCATTGCCATTTATTTCTACGGAACCAGTGCGTCGAATTCCTAATGACTACTTACCTACCTACATAAATTAAATTGAATTTTGAAACTGGACGAACGATTCCTTTCAATAAAAAAACTATATATACTCATTGTTTTCATATTATATCTTCAAGGGTAAGTACTTGAACGCTCAAATAGTACTTGATTATTCAGGAAAAAACATACCAATGGATAGAGGAATCATATGCATGAGATTTGAAAATGTCAAACACAGAACCAGAGATCAAATATCAATACTAGGATTGAGCTGAGCATATTGAAGCAACTCATGATGTTGTTCGAAGATATCCATTTCCTGTTCGTTCAAAGTCACCAGAGCTTCAACTCCACCATCCTTCACATCCATTAAAGCCACTGTGTTACTCACCATCTTATTCACGCTTGACATCCACACTGGATTCCCCCAGCCATAGTCCACGTCGTACAATGGAAACCTACACCAACTCGAACACTTGTAAACCACTGTCTCCTTCTTCTTCTTCAACATCTCTCCCCTCTCCTTCAGAAACTCCATTACTGCTTCAAACCCACCTCCTTCTTTGAACTTGATTGCCTTCTTCTCTATGAAGTCCTTTATCCCTTCCCTCATCTTCTTTACCAGAGCATGTAAGTCCAACTCCTTCTCTTCCTCCACCGTCACCGCAAACGGCCACACGAAGTTCCCGATGGCCGTCCCCGGCACCGGTGGCTCCATACGGGGACGAAGGTTCACGGCTTGGAACAGAGCCGACGGCTTAAACGACCCCGTTTTGGAACGGGAAGCCGACATCGCGCATCTCCATATCAGAGCTAGCACGACTTCCACTCGCGACGGGTGGAACTGATCAATGTCCTCATCGTCGGATTTGTCTCTTCCGAGTGAAGTTGCCACTCTGCTCTTGAGCTCTCCGACTTTGAAGCCGGTGAAAACGAACCGTCTTGCTGTGAACTTCTCGGCGGCGATATTTACAGATGCGGACATCCCCAGGATGGTTCGCGGAGGAAAGAGAGAAGCGCCGAGGCCCAAGTCAGGAACGTCCGGTTCAGTACGTGCACGACACGCAGCGGTCCAGCTCTGAAGGACTGTGATCAAGGCTGCTATATCGGCGATCTTGTGGGTGAGGGATATGCTCACGGCAGTCCCACCGCAACCGAACAATGTGAACCGTACGAGGAGCATGGAACCGTTTGACAATTCCATGGTTTCCTTGTCGGTGGAAGGTAGGAAGTGTTCGAGAATGTCGAAGTCTGGGTGGCTGAGGAAGTCAGAAAGACGAGTGTCCGTTCGAGCTTCGATGTAGACGGCACCGTCATCGTTGCAGTCAACGGTGGCCGTGTCACGGATGCGGCCGGCGAGAGGGTAGAAGCGGGTGAGCGTTTCGGCGAGGGCGTTTTGGAGAAGTTGGGATTTGGCCGAAAAGTGAGAGAGGAGATCTCCGGCGCCGCTGTCAGCGGCGGCGTTGGGAGAGTAGAAGAGGGTCATATTACCATGGATGTTAGGAGAGATCTGGTCTAGAAGAGAGATCTTGAAGGATTTGAGGTGTGAGGGTGTCGGCGAGGTTGGCTTGATACATCTTCTAGATATGATCTCTGTTCTGATCATAGTGCTCATTTTCTTGAATTTCTTCCTCTGAGGACTCTCGACGTTCATGCTTCAATGTTCTGGTTTTGAGGTTGTGTTTGTGTGCCTGTAAATATACAAGTCTCGATCTCATCCAGAAACCAAGCGAATATCGTTTGCATATTTTTTGGAACTTACTATACCATTAGTTAGTCCTTAATTATATAATTGTGAAGTCAACCTGAACATTATATTAATTGTCATAAATTCATATAATAAATGCATTACTAGAAGACCTCCGTTGGGGTATGAGAAGCATAAACATATAAACATTATCATATTTATTTATGTGTGGAGTATTATTGGTCGTCGCCTCTTTCATCACAAGTTAACGTGTGAGCATAAGTAAGAAATACATCAATTAAAGTTTTCGTGATTCACATTGTTGTTTTTACAAAAGTAAATACACACTGCCTCCTTTAAAAAAATTAATTGATATATTTTTAACTGAATCTTACGTATTAATAAAATAGTTAATTGCCTCTAAACTAGTACCATTTTTTCATATTTGTCTTTATTTAATAGGGTATTTTAATTTAAAATAAAAAATAATTTATTTATTATGAGCTAGTATTTTTGAAACAAACACATTAAATAGACTTTAAAATACTAAAAATATTTTATATTTTTAAACATTTAATTTTTTAAAAAATACCTTTCATTTGTTAATGGAAAGAGTGGAATGATACTCCTTTTTGGCTTTATTCTTTAATATAAGACTAACTTTAAAAGTTCTTTTGAAATTTTAATATAAAGCAAATCAGACAAGAGAGAAAATGAACCTTGGAGTTAGGAGTAAAAAATTGTAATATGTAATAAATTTAAATATATTATTTATTTTTTGACAAAACTTAAATTTATTATTATGTTTATTGTCATTAAATTTTTGCCCCTATTGTTGTCATTATAATTTAAAAACATATTTTGTCCAAAAAAAAATCTCATTATTAAAGTGTATATATTTATATAGACAAAATTATCATAAATTTAGATAAAAAGAATGTAAAAGAAAGTAAAAGTGCTTTTATGTATAGTTCTTTTTATGTTATTTTTTAATTAATCAATTTTACAATAAAAAATTTGAAAAGATATTCACGTAAATAAAGGTGAAGGAAAGAAAGAGTTCATTTTCACTTATGACTTTTACTACTATCTCTTCTGTTAACTTCACCCAAACATTTTATAACATCATTTAGTTGACGAGTTAAATGGCTTGCTAAATATTTGAGCAATTGGCTGTTATTATTCCATGAGGAAACATCCATAAAATTACTTGAACACTTATCACACATAATATTATATATATGCATATGTGTGTGTGTGTGTGTGTACCTGTGAAAGTTTTTCCTAAACACGTGCATGCTCCATTTCCATTTATTCAAAGTCAAGTCTTTATATTCTCAGTTTTTCCTTCTTTCATACACATACATATACTATTGTATATATATGTTTTAAGCTCACAAGCAATGTCATCGTTGTTTACGCTCAGTTAGATACAAAGCTCTTGCCTATTTGTCTTTGTAAACGTGAGTCTAGAGGTGCATAACCCTAAGAAGGCTTGGGCTGAATCTAATCACCTATTTTTTTATTAAAAAAAGATTAGTCATCTGGTCTTCATAGTTTTAACTTAATTATAACTCAATCCTAAATTTGACTCGTTATAACTTAGTTCTTAAACTTTTGACTGGATTATAAATTAGTCTGAATTTTGACTCTTGCAATTTAGTTTTTGAAGTTTCAAGATCTTAAATATTAGTCCCTATATTTTAAAAGATAAAATTATAAAAATTTAAAATATTTTAAAATTTTAATATTTATAAATATTAAAAGGATTTAATAATTTAAAATATTAGTAATAAATTTTAAAATACTTTTAATCTTTATAATTTTATTTTTTAAAATATAGGAACTAATATTTAAGATGTTAAAATTTTAGAGATTAAATTGCAAGAGAAAAAGTTTAAGAATTAATTTACAACCGAGTTAAAATTTCAAAGACTAAGTTATATATAATGAGTCAAGATTTAAGGATTGAGTTATAATTAAGTTAAAATTATAAGAACCAAACTATTAATTTTCCTTTTTTGTAATAAAAAAATAGAGACTTCTTACCTACTTTTGTTGCCGAATGCCTTGACCATTTCTATTCGAAACAGTATCTTTAGGGTGCATATATATTACACATATTTTAAAAGTAAAGATACCAAAACAAGGGTTGGATCCATATATTTAATGCTTGATTGTGTTTTGAATGAGGTAACTTATAATAAAAAGATACATGTGGGCAATAAAAGTATGTAGGTAAAGAACACGAAAAATAAGTCTAACGTGCATTGATGATGATGATAAAAATAAAGGCTAAATGTTTACAGATAGGAAACCACAGGTGGAATAAAAATAATTTAAAGAATCCAAACTCTAAAGTATAAAATCACATGCACTTCTTAGCAACGTTTCGCACGCAAGCAATACGATAAAGGTTCATAGTGTTATATAATAGGAAGGATTGAAGGAATAACATAATCTCCATAGTATTTGAAAGTTTGCTGGCCCAAAAAGTGTAAAGTTTGTACACATAAGATATTTGGTAAAAACATAGATTAAATAGCATGTATAATGCTAATTATATGTCTGATATTTATATTTTTGTTGGATAAAACTTCAAATAGTAATGTTAAATACATTTGGCAAATAAAAAGTAGAACCAAAGAAATAAGAACATTTGGAGATGGAGTTTTTTCCTTTCTCAAGTCTTGTTAGGTAGGGATGAAACCCTATGATTTAGTCTCTGGCGGAACAATTGTGCTCTGCTGAATGTTTGATTCAATACAATGTAATTTTGGACTTCAATTTTCGGCCATGAATCTCAATCCGGTTTCAGATACATGGCTCCACTGTAACCTGGGTCAAGTAAAACGGGCTTCATTGGGTTTATGATTGTTTTTTTTTTTTTTTTTTAAATTTAAAACTTTTAAAGGTTCCTTATCTAAGAGATGGAGCAGCTACCCTAACCATATAAGCCAGCAAATGGATGGATTAACCATTGGCTCAACCCCATCCTTTTTTGGTACAAATGAGGGCAAAGCTCAGAGTAATAAACTGAAATTACACTTAAAGGGGATTAAATCCCAAAGTATCAGAAGTAACAAAGCTCCAACTAAACTAGGAGCAACCTCGAACATAGACGAATAAGTGAGTCCTTCTTTTGCCAGTCTATCCGCCACTTGATTATGATCCCTCGACACATATTGGATCTGCACCTCCCAATTCCACTCAAGCATGCTGAGAATTTCAACAAAAACTAAGCTTCCCATATGTTTATTAGATCTCGTCCCATCAATTAGATCAATAAGATTCTTTGCAGTCTGACTCTAGAATCACACGCTTGAATCCAAAATCCCAAACCAGACGCAAGCTCTTCAACATAGCCCACTCTTAAGCTTCATAAGCACTGCAAAAACCTAAATTGGGGCAAAACTCAGCTATCCAGAGCCTGTGTGGTCTCTCAAGACACCTCCCCAGCCTGCTAATTTATCAGAGAGTGACATCGCTCCATCCATGTTAATTTTAACCCAACCTTCTGGTGGAGGAGTCCAAATGTTCTGTGGAGTACCATGACAGATTATTTCATCATCCTCACTAATTACATAGAAATGCCAAGTAGCCCAAATAACAGACAGCGGGTCAATGGGTTTTTTAAAATCTGGATAAAAAATTATACTATTGCTCCATTTACATAATTTCCAAATCATGACTCCCCATAAGAGATCCCAGTTACTGTTACTATTCTCAAATTTTCGCCAAAGATTAAAATTCATCCGGTCCTTCAGAGAAGTAGAGAAGAAGATAGAGTGGTGCCTCGGATTAACAAATTTTCGCCAGTTTTGTATAGCATAATCACAATCCCGTACAATGTGCAAGATATCCTCCACTTTACATTGACACCAGTTACATAATGGAGAGCATCATGACCAAAAGGCCATGCATTCGTGGGAAGTCTATTGTGAAAAGTCTGCCACATAAAGAATCTAATCCTTTCTGCCCCCTTCCATTTCCATGACTTTGAAGGTAGAATTATAAAGCTCCTGTGGGTTCTTCTCGATCAAAGAATAAGCACTTTTGAATGAGAAGATGCCATTGAGATTCCCATTTCAAATCATAAGATCATGCCCCACATTTTAGGTTGAAAAAAATCAGGGTTATTAAATTACAGGAATTTAATTACAAAATAATGATCCCAAATTTTGATGATAACTTTTCAAAAGTGTGTATAAAAATAAAAAAATAATAATCTTCATCAAAATAGGACCATGCGTCGTCGCTTGTACCACATATGCCGTGGGATGTGGTACAGAACCACGGCTCTCATGTTGCATCATGCGCCATGACATGTGACTAATGCACCGTGGCACATGTATCAGATTTTGATGTCAAAGTAGCTTTATTGATTTTCACATTCAATATCCAATTAAGGTGATTCAAGTGCTCACACGTCACTTATTTCAAAATCTAATCAATGACACAGGTTTCATCTCAATTCGATTCCTCATTTGGAAATTGGACATCCGACTACCATTATGTCATTTTCCCATACCCAAGTGTTACAAACCCAAACTGTATGTCATTAGCCATTTTCACGGGCTTGATCACATCCAATGGAACACTTTACACCTAATTGACCTCATACGTTATCAAAAATGACAACATATAAAAGTTTGGCTAGTTAACTGCCCCTTCACATAATAAGGCCTTTTTGCACATTTCTACACAAAAACTTGCTCACTTGGCCAATAAGTCATATAAACATTCCAAACACACAATCATACACTTGCACAAATATATTAGCCCTCTTGGCCTCAATTTATATGTGATTACACATATATTTGAATCTGACCACAAATATGCCCTTTACACACACATAGGGCTATTTTCCACACTTTTTCACATACTTCACACATATGGCCAAATTCCTCACCACATCATACACTTTCATACTTCAGGGCTAAGACACACGTACATACAAGAGCATCCATATAACATATATGTATGCATTCCTATGACAACTTATAAACATGCCAATTTACAATATTATAATTTATTACACAAACTCAAAGCTT